ATTTCATTTTACCATCCATTTTTTATCTGCCAAGAGAAGGATGCTGCTTTATCAGTGGGAGCACAGCCTTGATCTTTCAGCAGGGACTTCTGGCTTCAAGTGTCTTGCCCAAGAACCTTCAGGCTCAAAGGCCAACGCTCTACCAAGTGAGCTACTGTCGTCTCCCTGAAAACGTCAGACTTCTTCTCTGACAATGTTCAAATCCAGGTTAAAAACAGTATATTCACTCTTTATAATGTACTGTGATTATTTGTGATTTTAACGCCTTGTGTTGTTGTTTCTCTCTTGTTTTGTTCAGCACTTTAAAGCTGCACTAACTCACTTTGTGAAATTTTCGAACCTGAGCGCTGGTCTCGCTCTTTCTGCTCGCCCTCCCCGCACTCACGAAGCTATCGCCCCCCACTACCCCCTCACCCTCAGCCTGTGCTTATGTGTTTACAGAGCTTGCTTCTCACAATATGGATCGCAAATTATAACGTGGATGGCGTGACCATAGAATGATAGAACCGGGTTTGCTGTGTAAGCAGTGACCGGTAACGAAGACACGGGAAGCTTGAGGTTAGCCTACGCCGCGTGTTTACCGCAGCTTTCTGTGTGTGCTAACGAGAGACCTCGCTTTTCTCAAGAAAGTGGGGGCCAGTGGTCCGCTGTGATTGGTCAAAATCTGGTCCAGAAAACTTTATCTAAAATAAAATGACATGCCAGCAAAAATCTGCGCTACTTTTTCTTCAAAAGGACGTATATGTCATGGTTTAGGTTTATTTCCTGATTTATTTTGAAATGTGTTATCCCTCTGTCTTCTTTGGTTGTACTTCCTGTTTGATTTGCTGTTTGACGTGCCCTGCCCTCATGTGTATCACCTGTGTCTCGTTAGTCTTGTATTCAGCCCTGTGTGTTCCTTCACTAACCTGGCAAGAGCCAGATTAATGATTGTGTAGAACTCTAATGCGTTCTCTACAATATCAATCTGGGACTTCTGCAGGAGAATCCTTTCGGGGAAAGGAGCGATAAGCAGCAGAATACTTCAAGGTGATTGGGCGAAGTGACGCTGTGTGCCCGCCTACCAAGGTTTGACCTTAACCAATCCCGGTAACATTATGTCGTCATCTCTTGACAAAACCTGTGGGTAAAAATGCACAAACATCTTTGCCATCCAGAAATGCACAAAGCGCCTCTCGCTGTTCATCTTTCAAAAAAGAAATTGGAGATTCTGCTAAAACTGACTTGATAGCCTCAGCTACACGTCCGTCCTCCTGCGTAGCCATGTTTGTTTTGCTTCGGCCCGGCACTTCTTGCTTTCGTCAAACCCGGATATCCCGCCCTAAACCCCCAGACTGGCGCGTGATTGGCTTGAACACCTAGCTGTTCTACTCGAAAAGGGTTGGCGGGAGCGGGACAAGATGTATTCTCAAGTGTTTGTGAACTCACAAATACCGTGAGAATTCAGCTTGCAGGCAAGGTTATTCCTTCACTCCCTGTTCCGTCATTGTCAGTCATCGTCTGTTTCAGTTCTGTCCTTGTGTTTTTGTTTTATCTTTTTATTAAATCCATTTTTTCTTTTTTTTGCAGTTTTGCATTTTGGGTCTCATTTCATTTTACCCTCGTGGCAGTATACCCCAATGCATTGCATGGATATGGATTGAATTTTCGTAATGAATACAAAAATAAAGTGAGGTAATGCAGCTTTAACTTTCCCTGTCTGTGTGTGAACTGTGCTATACAATTAAACTCACCTTTACACTGTCGTTTACACTCTATCATATCACCTTTCTATATTTCCTGAGGGAGACCATTTTTCTTATTTCGCCTTCTGCTTTGCAAAGGCTTGGAAAATGATAAGGCTCGTGCACTGACTGACCATCACCCACTGTGTCAGAGAATATGTGTCTGATTTGTTGACAATATATTACTTTTACAAGACAGAAATTCAACATTAGTTTCTGTCTCTGCTGAGTCTCCTAAACTTCCAACTCCGATGATTCCTTGGAAGTCCGCAGAGGCCCAGTCACTCATCTCCTGTCGAGAACCGTGACCTCGGATTTGGAGGTGACGATTTTCATTTGAGCTGCTTCACACTTCGCAGATTGCCAAGGGCGTGGTGTAGGTCCTGCTGATATGAAATGTTATAGATTTACTTTCTGACAGAAAAAAGTAATATATTAAATGTGATGTTAAAAAAAAATACTCCTCTTGCTTAACTGCTATTTCTCTTATGTATTTGTTTATTTATGTGTTTAAATGGCCGCTGTTAAAACAACTCTCTCTCTCTGGTCTCTTTCTGGTCTCTTTCTGGCATGGTCTCTCTCTCTTTGGTCCCTCGTGCTGGTCTTGCACCCTGGTCTCTCTATCTCTCTCTGGTCTCTCTCTTTGGTCTCTATGTCTCTGGTCTCTATCTGGTCTCTATCTGGTCTCTCTCTGGTCTTTCTCCAGTCTTTCTCTTTGGTCTCTCTCTAGTATCTTTCTCAGGTCTCGCTTTAGGGTCTATCGCTCTGTCTAGTCTCTCATTGGTCTCTCTCTTGACTCTCTCCAGTCTCTCTCTCTGGTCTCTCTTTGGTCTCTCTCTTGACTCTCTCCGGTCTCTCTCTCTGATCTCTCTTTGGTCTCTCTCCGGTCTCAGTCTAGTCTCTCTGGTCAGGGGAAGACCCAGGACACATTGGGGGAAAACCACGTCTCTCAGCTGGCCCGGGAACGCCTCAGGACTCCCTCAGATGAGCTGGAGGAATTGTGTGTGGTGAAGGAAGTCTGTGTGTCTCTGCTTAGACTGCTGCCCCTGCAACCTGACAAAGGATAAAGCGGAAGAAAATGGGCGGATAACATGAGAGTTTAAGACTGTGATATAGTATAGTGATCTAAAATGTATACTGTATGCATTCATTATTATAACTATGTGACAGGTAAACATAAATATATCTTTTGAAATCTACCATAAATATACAGTGAGACTAGAACAAAACAAACGTTCTCAAGTGTTTGGTGTCTGTCTGAGTGGAGTCTGCATTCCTCAACATGTTTATCTGAGTCCAAGCATTCTTCAAAAAGCAATTTAAATACTGTGTTACGTTGTTTACAAATGGGAAAATCACATATTCATAAATATTCTACGTAATAACATTGACACGCGGCATCTTATTATGTTTCCTTTGTATGGTATTTATGCTATTTCATTGTTATAGGGTGTGTGTGTGTGTGTGTGTGTGTATTTATGTTGAGAAGGTTGGACCCACGGGAGGGAGGAGAAGGCGAGAAAAACTGAAAATGATTTTGCTGTGTTCTCCGCTCTAAACTGTTGTCGCTTCTGTATGCAAAAAACACTATAAATATTTAACGAAAAAATAATAATTCAGACCTTTGCCGACACAACAGGGTCCAAGAACAGCGGATGATTGATTTTCCAATTATCTGTTTTCACATTAACAATGATGACGGCTGTTGTAATTTTTGGCGATACAAAACTAAATTGAATGGCCCACAATGCAACACATACGGCAGCTCAAGAGTGGCCTTCATCCTGTTGAATTATGATCAAACAGGAGAAAGAACCAGGAAGCTCCTGGTTGTCTTAAAGAAACTTGTCTTGAAGATGTTAGTGATGTTAAAGATCACCTCCAGCTCAATTTAGTTTGTGTAGTTTGTGTGTAGTTTGTGTAGTTTGTGTGTAGTTTGTGTAGTTTGTGTATAGTTTGTGTAGGCTTCTGTAAACCGTAAAATATGTAGATATTGCTCTCAGGGATCAGGATTCTTTTTTACACAAAAGTATGTTTCTAATAGGATGAAGTAGTTCTCTTAGGGTCTCTCTCTCTCTCTCCGGTGTCTTTCTGGTCTCTCTCTGGTATCTCTCTGGTCTCTTGTTGGTCTCTCCCTCGGGTGTCTCTCTTAACTCTGTCTATAATCTCTCTCTCTGATCTCTCGCTAGTCTCTCTTGTTGGTCTCGCTCTGCTCTCTCTTGTTGGTCTCTCTCTGCTCTCTCTTCTTGGTCTCTCTCTGGTCTCTTGTTGGTCTCTCTCTGCTCTCTCTCTGCTCTGTCTTGTTGGTCTCTCTCTGGTCCCTCGCTGGTCACTCTCTGGTCACTCTCTGGTCTCTCTCTGCTCTCTCTTGTTGGTGTCTCTCTGCTCTCTCTTGTTGGTCCCTCTCTGGTCTCTCGCTGGTCTCTTCCTGGTCTCTTTCTGGTTTCTCGCTGGTCTCTCTCTGCTCTCTCTCGCTGGTCTCTTCCTGGTCTCTTTCTGGTCTCTCTCTGGTCGCTCTCTGCTCTCTCTTGTTGGCCTCTCTCTTTTTTGTCTTTTTCTGCTCTCTCTCTCTGGTCTTATTTGATGCTCTCGCTCTGGTCTCTCTCTGGTCTCGCTCTCTGCTCTCGTTTGTTGGTCTCCCTCCGGTCTCACTTGTGTGTCCCTCTCTGGTCTCTCTCTGCTCTCTCTCTGGTCTCACTTGTTGATCTCTCTCTGGTCTCTATCTGGTCTCTCTCTGCTCTCTCTCTGGTCTCACTTGTTGATCTCTCTCTGGTTTCTATCTGGTCTCTCTCTGTTCTCACTCTCTGGTCTCACTCTATATTATCTATCTATCTGTTAATCAATCAATCAATCAATCCTGTCCCTGTCAATCTCTACGTCCATATAAAAAGCTTGTCCATGAAAACATAAATTCAAGATATCTTTCATTCATTTTTTTGTTCCATTCAATCACGTGTCCAGACCACCAGCCGCCAACATCTGAGTGAACCCCATTGACAACTCCAGGAGCACTCACTCCTCACTCTCTGCTTCACGATTGGCCCAGAGGTGCAGAGAGGGGGTGGGATCAGAACAGACCGGAGGAGAGAGAGAGAGGAGGGGGTGAGCGAGAGAGAGAGAGAGAGAGCGTTCCTCTGCTCAGCCTCTCGCCCTCGCAGACTCAAACACACACACTCAGTCACGGCAGCAGTCATCATGAGCTGGAGCCAGACGCCCGGGTTCCTGCCGCTCTAGAGTCTCGCCGTTTGGGCTCAGATCAGAGACACCCAGGGGACCATGGACTCCAGGCTGTTTGTGGGACCGGGGATACCCACCACCAAGACACCTGCCTGGGTCAACATCAGCCACTACAACCCCCATCGGCTCCAGGATCTGGCTCCGATTTACTCCACAACAGTGAGTAACTTTGTCCTTGTCTATTCATCATTGTTGAGGTTTTTAAGTTTTTTTGGCATTGCATGGTTTTACTGATTGAATATATATACAGTATGTTTTTTTATTCAAAGCCGAAAGAATATTTTCCTGTCTATTGCTCCCGCTCCTTTATGAGTTTGAATCAAGTACAATATTATAACGAATAATTGTTAATGAATCATACAGGGAATCATATGCTCAAAATGTTGCTAAATGTATTTTAATTTCAACACATTCTGACTGTCTTAAAACATGATTTGCTGATTGAACAATGAGCAAAATGATTCAAGAAATGTGTCTCTTGGAATGGGAAATTAAAGGTGAATCTTGTTTTAAGACAGACAGAATGAACTGCTCAATTCAAGCCATTATTACCTATTATCACTTTTTGCAGTGTAAATCAAAAATCACTCACTCACTCACTCTACTTTTCTACCTGACATTAGTCCGTAGCTACATGCATTTTTGCTTGGATTCTCCCAAAAAGTTGAATACATATTTAATTGTATATGTTTTTAATACCTTGGTTGATCTTATCGTTTGTTTCCATACTGTCCAATTTGAATGTTTAATATTGTGTGTTTTTAAAGTGTGATTTTATTGTTTATCATTTCAAGCGATAGGGGGTTGGAAGCACTTTGTTTACCTCGTGTTGGAAAAGTGCTCTAAAAATACAGATTGATTGATTGATGAAGCGAGACCTTGTAGACTGCTTTACCTTGACACCTTTCCCATAGGTGAAGCTCATTCATCTCTCATCTCTCTCTGGTCTCTCTCTCATCTCTCTCTATAGTCTTTCTATATGGTCTCTCTATATGGTCTCTCTCTATAGTCTCTCTCTTGTCTCGCTCTGTTCTATCTCTCTGGTCTCTTTGGTTTCTACCTATAGTCTCTCTCTCTATGGTCTCTCTCTGGTCTCTCTCTCTCTGGTTTCTCTCTCTGATCTCTCTCTCTATGGTCTCTCTCTGGTTTCTCTTTTTATGGTCTCTCTCTCTCTTGTCTCTCACTTTCTGGTCTCGCTCTCTCTGGTCTCTCGCTATGGTCCCTTTCTCTATGGTCTCTCTCTCTCTCTATGGTCTCTCTATTTGGTCTCACTTTCCGGTCTCTCTCTCTCTCATCTCTCTCTACGATCTCTCTCTCTGGTCTCTCTCTCTCTGGTCTCTCTCTGGTCTCTCTCTCATCCCTCTATCATCTCTTTCTGGTCTCTCTCTCACTCTGGTCTCTCTCTCTCTCTGGTCACTCTAAACAGCTAGAATGGTACAATATTGTTGTTTTCATACCATAATCAAAATATATATCTAATTTATTTTATAAAACTCTAAATCGTTGTCATCTCGTGGCATTTCCACTGCTTTCTCATCCACGTATCTTATTCATGCGAGCGTTACTTCATTCAGAATTTGGGTGAGAGTATGACACAGTTTGATTCAGCTTCTTGCGTTTTGCATCAGCTTTTTGCAACATCACCAAAAGACCATTTCATAAAAGAGAAAAGTGCATAAGCTGATGGTAGGTATAGAGAGAGGTTGGGGACCACACACATTCTCACACGTTCGGATAAATCCTGTGTAATCCGGGTTTAGAGCTATAGAGATGTGCCAGAGATCGAATTTAAGCTGCTTTTAAATGTCGTTTGTACGGATCAATAATCACTTTGTCTATTTTTTTAAAATGAGTTAAGACACCTACAGCCAATACTGCAGTCAGTAAAAGCAGGACTTGGAAAATCAATTAATTGACGAGTTAGGTTTGTCTGATCCCTCACTTTAGTCTCTCTCTGGTCTCTTTTTGATCTCTCTTTATGGTCCCTTTCCATGGTCTCTCTCTGGTCTCTCTCTCTCTCTCTCTTTGTTCTCTGTTCTCTCTCTCTAGTCTCTCTGTTCTCTCTTTATGGTCTATCTCTTCTCTCTGCGACCTCTCTCTGGTCTCTCTCTCTCTCTCTCTTTGTTCTCTGGTCTCTCTCTCTCTTTGTTCTCTGTTCTCACTCTCTAGTCTCTCTGGTCTCTCTGTTCTCTCTTTATGGTCCCTTTCCCTGGTCTCTCTCTTGTCTCTCTCTCTCTCTCGCTCTCTCTGTTCTCTCTCTCTGGTCTCTCTCTCTGCTCTCTATCTCTTCTCTCTGCGACCTCTCTCTGGTCTCTATGGTCTCTCTCTGGTCTCTCTCTCTGTTCTCTGCTTTCTCTCTTTTCTCTCTCTTTTCTCTCTCCCTGGTCTCTCACACTGGTCTCTCTCTCTCTCTGGTCTCTCTCCCTGGTCTCTCACACTGGTCTCTCTCTCTCTCTGGTCTCTCTCACTGCTCTCTCTCCTCCACCTTTCTCCATTTCAAGATGCTTTTTGTACCCCCAAAAAATATCTAGAATAAGGAAAAATATATCTGGTTGGGTTGAATGAGTTCATTTTGCAGACAGGTATGCAAATTCTCACACAAAAAATGAGAATTATCAATATTTTTCAGTATATTTTTTTAATCAGACACAGGGATTACAAAAATTACCATAAATAATCTAGGAATGCTTGTGTGTATGCTTAGCCAGCGTCAGATCCCACTTATTTGAATGTTGTTCGTGAAAATCAACAGTTTCCAAGTTTCCCAAAGCTCAAACATGTCGCTTCCATAATTAATTTGTCCAATTAGCGAGACGGGATTAACACAACAGGCTTCCATAAAACAGGGAAAAACACTCGTCTCTGAGATCTGAAAAAGTCTTGGGCAGCCAGATACACGAGGGATTTAGTTCGACAAATATAAGGGATACAGTATGTATAAGTGTCGTCCTGTCTGGAAAGAACATTCTTTGTTAACAAGAGCAAAAACACATAATTATGCAAAACACAACGAACGCATTGACAAGAAGGAAGATCGGATGTGCTGTAAGTGAGGAGAGAGAGACGGAGAGGAGGGAGAGAAGAGAGAGGAGAGAGAGAGACGAAGAGAGGCTGAGAGAGGTGAGAGAGATGAAGAGAGGAGAAAGGCAGAGAGAGGACAGAGAGACAGAGAGAGGAGAGAAAGATGGAGGAAGAGAGAGACTGAGAGAGACGGTGGGAGGAGAGAGACAGAGACTGAGAGAGGAGAGAAAGATGGAGGGAGGAGAGAGACTGAGGGAGACAGAGGGAGGAGAGAGACAGAGACTGAGAGAGAGGAGAGAGAAGAGAGAGGAGAGAGAGAAACGAGGAGAGGCTGAGAGAGGTGAGAGAGATGAAGAGAGGAGAAAGGCAGAGAGAGGACAGAGAGACAGAGAGAGGAGCGAGAGATGGAGGAAGAGGGAGACTGAGAGAGACGGAGGGAGGAGAGAGACAGAGACTGAGAGAGGAGGGAGAGAAGAGAGAGGATTAAGAGAGACGAGGAGAGGCTGAGAGAGGTGAGAGAGATGAAGAGAGGAGAAAGGCAGAGAGAGGACAGAGAGACAGAGAGAGGAGAGAGAGATGGAGGAAGAGAGAGACTGAGAGAGACGGAGGGAGGAGAGAGACTAAGAGACTGAGAGAGGAGGGAAAGATGGAGGGAGGAGAGAGACTGAGAGAGACTGAGAGAGCTGGAGAAAGGAGAGAGAGACAGGGAGAGGAGATAGACAAGGATAGAGTAGAGTGACAGAGAGACTACGGACAAACTGAGAGAAGAGAGAGAGCCTGAGAAAGGGGAGAGAGCCGGAGAGAGACGGAGAGAGAGGAGTGAGAGACTGAGAGAGGAGAGAGTGTGATTGTGTGTGGCCAGGAGATAAGGGGAGGAAAGAACTGGCATTTTATTACTGAGTCTTTAGGGGAGGAGTGGAGAGGTGGGATGAGGAACCAAGAGCCAAATGAAGAGGAGACAATAGGCAAAAAACAATATAAAGCAGTCACAGATTGTGCAAGTTCTTCTGCTTTCTAAGATGAGAGAGCTCTGTGATTGTAAACATACTGCGGGAGAGACACAATTATTATTTTTTAGAGAATGTATTTGTGAGTTATGGTGGAAAATAAGTATTTTAAGGTCTTGGAGTGGCCTAGAGAGAAAGAGAGACTAGAGAGAGAGAAGAGAGAGAGAAAGAGAGAGTGACCAGAGAGAGAGAGAGACTAGAGAAAGAGAATAGAGAGAGCAGGGAGAGAGACCATGGAGGGAGACCAGAGAAAGATAAGGGAGAGAGAGACCAGGGAGAGAGAAACCAGAGCGAGACCGGGGAGAAAGATCAGAAGAGAGACCAGAGGGAGACAAGAGAGAGATAGACCAGAGAGTGACCGGAGAGAAACCAGAGAGAGAGACCAGAGAAATATAAGACCAGGGAGAGAGAAACCAGAGCGAGACCGGGGTGAAAGACCAGAAGAGAGACCAGAGGGATACGAGAGAGAGATAAACCAGAGAGTGACCGGAGAGAAACCATGAGAGGGACCAGAAAAAGACCAGAGAGAGAGAGATTGGAGAGAAACCAGATGATTTGAATGGTTGTATAATTGCTTATTTTTTATATGCGCTTTGAGGTGCCTTGTGTATGAACTGTGCTATACAAATAACCTCGCCTTGCCTTGAGTGAATGAATGAACAAACTGCTGGTCTGTGGGGCCACTGCTCTTACCACTAATCCACAGTGAAAGGTACAAAAGGGAAGGATTTAATCTGTTAAACGCGAGGATTAAGGAGGCTCCAAGTTTGTTAAAAAAGAAAGTTTCTAATCCTGGTCAATCCATCAGGCAAGGCTGGACTAAAGGGCTACAGGAACAAGATTGGAACACTTTGAACAAATGAAAAATCAATAATGAAGGGAAAAGAAGTAGCAAGAAACGAGAGGACGAGGAGAGAATGTTGCCAATAGGAGGAGAAAGGGATTATCTGAAATGAACTGGAGAGATAGAAGGACAAATGTGACGGGTGTTACTCTGCCGATCCACCAGGGGGCCCCCAAACGCATGCACTGTTTAAATACTGTGCTTAGATAAGTCTCGCTAAACTTGGCTGAGAGAGAGACCAGAATGAGAGACCAAAGAGAGAGCAGTGAGTGACTATACAAAGACCA